CATGTACCGGCTCATCTCTGCCATGCTATTTTCCTGCTTCTGGCTGCCTACTTTTTTTTTTTGGTGTGTGTTTTTCCTTTTTATCGGTAGCAGGGATGGAACTCACGACTGCCTGCTTGCAAGGCAGGCGCGACATGCCGCTGAGCTATATCTCCAGCCCCCTGGCTGCCTACTTTTTCTCTCCATTCAATTGTCTGCCCTGCACTGTGATTCCCCCATGTTTTTTTTTTTTTTTTTTTTTTTAAGCTCTCTCTAGAATGTCCTTCTTTGTAGGGTTGGTTTGGTGGTCATGAATTTCTTCAGTTGTTCTTTGTCATGGAAGTATCGTTTCCCTATTAGTTTTGTAGACTTCATCAATCTGGTTTAGAAGTTGTTCTTTCAGGACTTGAAGTACTTCACTCCAAGCTCTTCTTGACTTGATGGTTTCTGTTGAGAAGTCTGTAGTGATTCTGATGGGTTTATGATCTGTATCTTTTCTCGAACAGCTTTTAATATTTTGTTCTTTTGCTGAATTTCTGGGATCTTGATTACATGTCTGGGTGTAGATTTATTTTGGTTATGGCTAGTTGGGAGTTCTAGATGCTGCACTTATTTGTATGTTACACCCTTTCCCCATGCTTGGGAAGTTTTTTGCTATTACTTCTGCAAATAGCCTTCTTTTTTTTTTTTTTTTTTTCTTTTTTGTCTTTTTCCTTTTTATCGGTACCGGGGATCAAACTCACGACTGCCTGCTTGCAAGGCAGGTGCTTATGCCGCTGAGCTAAATCCCCAGCCCCAGCCTTCTTTTTTTTTTTTTGAACTGGGGATTGAACTCACAACCTCGCATTTGCCAAGCAGGCACTTATGCTGCTGAGCTAAACCCCCGGCCCTGTAAATAGCCCTTTTATATCATTTATGTTGACTCCTGCTTTTTTATTTTTTTGCTGACATCTATTATTCTTATTTTTCTTTGCATCATCTTATAACTGTTGAAATATTATTTCTTGGATCCTTGTTATTTTTAAGAGATTTTTCCTTTCTCAATCACTAGCTGCAAAACTGTCTTCAAGATCGAAAAGTCTATCTTCAGTTTCTTTCAGGCAGTTTTGCCAGCTTTCAAGGGAGTTTCTAATATTCTCGATATCTCTTTGAATCTGTTTCATGCAATCTAAGTCTCTTTTTTTTAAAATCTTTTTATCAGTACTGGGCATCAAACTCACGACCACATGCTTGCAAGCAAGTGCTTATGCTGCTGAGCTAAATCCCCAGCCCCGTTTCATGCAATCTGAATCCTTCTTATATTGTTCATTTAAGGTTACCTTCATTTTCCTATGCTCCCCTATTTTTTAAATCTCTATCTTCTTTAGATGTTTAGCAATTCTTTTATTCTGCTTTTCATTTCTCCTTTTACCTGAGGTAGTATTTCTGTTCTAACTTCTTTTATAGCCTCATGAAGTTGTTTCTTTACTTCAGTTGCCATTACTTCAGAAACTTCAGGTATGCAGGTCCCAATCTCTTCCATGTTTACATCTCCTGGACTTGCTCTGCATGGGCGGGAGGCCAGAGACTGCCTTTTGCTTCCCCATCTTGACATTTTCCTGGGTTCTTCCAGACAAGTGGGTAGTGGGATCCCGGGCACTTCCTCCATTGGCTACACCTTCTCCAAAGTGTAACTTTTTGGTTCTCCTGACCAGTGCTGGCTATGGGTAGTCCATGGTGGCCACTAGGTGCACTAGTGCAGTACTGGCTGCTGCTTTTTCCAGTCCATGCTGGCTACCCGTGGTAGGAAGCATCCTGGATGACAGCTGGTATGTGAGTAGGGGCAGGGCTGGTGGCTGCGTCCATGACCTGAGTTACCTGCAGGAAATGTCCCTGATGGCTGTTGTGCACTTGAAGAAAGGGTGGGCCACTATCTCCTGGACCTGAGCTGGTTACTGCGGGAAGCATCTCCCATGGCAGCTGGTGCTCTTTAAGTTTCATATTACTAAACTTCCTTCATATTTTAAAATCCCTGAATTTCTATGGTTTGATTTTGGATAATCACTTCTATTTTCCAATATACCAATTCTCTCAATGCCTAATATGTTCTTGTAGGGAACAGCTTCAGCAAATCTCACCTAATTTAATAAATAACATGATGAGTAAATAACATTATTTTTCAAACTGTCACTTTATATTTTGACAATTGTCCTATCACTTAAAACATTTTTTAGAACTCTTTGACAATTATATTCTGGTTTATATGTACTTTTCCTTTTTAGTACTGAATTACTTCTAGTCTGAATTACTGAATTACTTTTAGTACTGAATTACTTCTATTAAATTTTTCAATTTAATTCTTGCATTCTATGTCATTATTCCTTCTCTACATTGGGAAGCCCTTAATGTGACAGTGATTATCACATCTGGTAAGCTAATTTAACTTATTATATAACTGAAGTATATAGGAAATTATCTTCCTCAATGCAGATACAACATCTGTTTACTAGCTCAACAGATGTTGGGCATGCTATTAGATAAAGCAATACTGAAAATTAAAACATTTTACTATTTTCACCTTGGCAAAGATTAAAAAAAGAATGGCAATACGCAGCATTGGCAAGGATATGGGGAGTTAGACACTTGTGATAGGAATGAGAACTGGTATGATCTTCACAGAGAACTATTAATAATGTATATCAAAAGTCCTAACTTTATTCTAGAGATTTAACCTAAAGATATATTTATATACTATTGTAGAAATCTATTAACATATGTAGTTCACGATATACTATAGGAAAAAAGTAAACTACAAAATAGTATGACTACTTGTTTATATTTAAATAAATAGGGAAAAATTTCCTTGGAATCATTTATTCTCCAGGATTATAACTGATATTTAGTTCATTTACTGCCTAGGTTTAAAAAAATAAGCATACTCTATATGATTAAGAATTACTGATTTTAAATACCAGAGTACCTAACTATCTTTAAGAAAGTCTTTGGTACTTGGAAGGCAGATGCAGGAGGAATGGAAGTTTAAGATCAGCCAGGGCAATATAGTGAGGCCCTATCTTAAAACAAAAAATAGGGCAAGGAATACAGCTCAGTGGCAAAGCATCTCTAGGTTAAAATCTTTTTTTTCTGGGAAAATGCAGTCCCAATTTAAACAAAGAATTCTGAATAATATACCCCCTCACTCTATTGCCCTGCCAATTCTGAATTCAATCTTTGTAACTCATCCTATCATCATCCTTGTCTACCTAAAATTGTACTTCTAAAGATTAGAAACAAGCACTCAGAAGGCTGACACAGGGGTATCACTGTGAGTTCGAGACCAGCCTGGGCTACAAAGTGAGCTCAAGATCGGCCTGAACTGCATAGTGAAACTGTCTCAAAAAGACAAAAAAGAAAAAAGAAAAAAAAAGAGTAGAAACAGCTACTTCTTCGAGTATAAGGAGGAGGATAGGAAAAAAGAAGTCAGGACATATAGAGGAAAGGAAATGAGATTTTATGAAAAACATACTCTCAACGGTTGGGGGTGGAAAGCTTTTAAGAACAGGGAATGGAGGAATGAGGAAAGTTCCATGAATAAGTTCCATGAACTTTTCAGCAAAAGTTTCTCCTCTAACCAGTTTTCTCTCTTCCTGAGGTATGTATTCATTGCTACAAGCGCTACCAAATTGCTACAAATAGAAAACTCCAGAGATCCTAGAACCAGATGTGATTAGAAAAAAAACCATTTTCATCAGTGTAATGCAATAGGGCTTACATGTTCACAGTAAGTCCTGATTCCATTCCCTTGCTCCTTCCTTAGCATATTTTAGCTCTTCCTTTGGAAAAAAATTAACTTTCAGCTTTCTAACATGACATAGTGCTTGTTTCTTTTCTTTTCTTTTCTTTTCTTTTTTTTTTTTTTTTTTTTTTGTCTTTTTCATTTTTATCGGTACCGGGGATCGAACTCAAGACCACCTGCTTGCAAGGCAGGTGCTTATGCCGCTGAGCTAAACCCCCAGCCCCCATAGTGCTTGTTTCATACCAAAGGACTGTGATATACCAGTTCTCATTTAGAATACTCTTCACCTCTCCAACCCTAACTTGACTCAATTATATTCTATTAATTTCTTTGATCTTTGTTCAAGTGTCCCTTTCTCAGGGAAACATTGGACACCTTAGTCCACAACAGATTCCTTGAAGATTTTATCTCATTTGTAAATATAATTATGCATTATTTAGTATGATTATCTAATAGCTAGTTGAACTGGTAGGTCTCACACTCAATGAAAGCTGTGGCATTAGCTACTTTTGCGCAACCCTGTGACTCTGCTTTTGGAACACAGTGCTCAAAAAGCATTTCCTGAATGAGGGAATGAATGAATGAAATAAGCAAACAGCCACCCAGAGCACTGGTGTAGTAAGAATTATATTATCTATATCATTTTGTGGTGGAAGTATGTTCACATTTTTCATTTAATCATTGCGATACTTGTATATTCAAGATAAAGCTTTAAATATACACAGTATATTATTTTTGAAAATTCTCCATGGCCCAGAATAAACTATGATGTCAGGACGACATCTAGCCCTTAACAACAGCATGTAATCTTGGCTTCAGAACTTTACAAATGGCAAACGATGAGAGATAGATATGTCTTCATAGAGTATCGTTCTGGAGCACAGAAAGGCATAATTGCCTCTTCATAACAAATTCAGGAATAGGGTACAGAGACTCTGCAGGTTCCCTACGTTTGACACAAGCTTAGCAGAAAAGCAAGCCTACGATGAACAGCAAAAGAACGAGCATTTATTTAAAAGTTCGTTTGGTACACTGAGCACCTGCAGTGTACCAAAAGCCTACTTCTGGGCTCGCCCTGATACGCCCGCTGTGTGGTTTTAGGTATTTTTCCTTCATAGAGCCTCTAGAGTCCCAGTGGGAAGCAAAATACGCCTGACTTCCTCAAAACGTCAGGATGGGGGCTCCAGAGAGACAAGGTACACCGGAAAGTACCAGGGGACCAGAGGAGTCTGCAAGTGCTGCAGGGCGGAAGCCCGTCCGTGCCCCGAGGGGCCGCGCTTACCCGTCGGGCGAATACTCCAGGTTGAAGACCGCACCGTGGGTGCGTGTGCTGAGGTACACGGAATCCGCGGGGTGGATGGAACAGTACAGGTTCGTCATGGTGCGGAAATGGTCCCGCGCCGGGTCCACAAACAGCCCGCGGCCCAGGCTGCGCTGTCTCAGCCATCCAAACAGTCTAGCGCCGGGGCCGCCCAGGCCCGCGCTGAGGCCGTGCCTGCCCCGGCTCCAGGCCCTGCAGTCTGGAGACGCGGTCGGCTCTCCCTGGGCAGAGGTTGCTGATAGCTCCAGCTCACCGGGCGGCTTGAGCTCTCCGGCGCCCGCGGCGTGGGGCGGCGCGAGGGCGCCGGGGTGGCTGGGGCTCCGGGCGGCCGGCGGAGGAAGGGCGGCGTCAGCCTCGGGCTGTGGCGGTGCGGGCGGGGTAGCGGGAGAGGGCGGCCTGGCGGCTGCCGCCGGACCCCGGTGGGCGGCCGACTCCTCAGCTCCAGCCGCCTCGTCCCCGCCCGGGCTACTGGGACCGAAGGGAAACATGGCCAACGCCCCCGCGCCCTGCTCCGGGTCGCTGTCCAGTCGGCCTACACCTCAGCGCTCCCGCTCCGGGCGCCACTTCCGGGTGCGGCGGCCTAAACTCACCGGATGGGAAACCAGCGCCGCCGCTGGGCTGCCCTCCACTGGGGACCGGGAAAGTAGGGACACGCAGCCCTAGAGGTCTGGAGCCGGAGCGTGAATGTGTGTGAGCCAGCGAGGATGCCAGAGTGTCCGGCGTTGCGTCCGGCTAAGAGGCGGTCTGTAGCTGTCAGTGAGTGGTGACTGCGTTTCTGACTGGTCCTGTGAGGCTCGGTATTATTATGTATTGTGCCTGCTTTACGGTTAAGATTCTGGGCGGGGAGAGGGGAGTTACCCTTTGTGTTCAGATAACACGCAGGACCGACTGACTACCTACTCAACCTGGAAATCTACGCATCAAGCTAAGTAGTTGCACTAAAAAAAAAACTCGTCTTTTTTCAGTATCTAGAACAAGGAGGCTTGTTGATGCCCAGCATATCTGCCCAACTCCCAGTTACACCCCAATAGCTCAAGTCTTTGTCAAGGCCAGAGTTTTTCTCCCTGTAGGAAAGGACACATATGAAGCCAGGAAAAACTGACGGGACTGGAGACTTGAATGGTTTTGAACTCTCAACGATCATCCTGCCTCCGCCTCCCAAGTGCGGGATTACAGGCATGCACCACCATGCCCAGTGACAGCTTTTTTTTTTTTTTTTAAGTTTAAAGCACATACTCTTGAGATGTCCCCTGTCATCCCTATAGAGTAGAAGGATTAGAGATCTGTTTATGATTAACAAATAATGTATCTTAATGACATAACTTCTGACTGCAACAGATACTTAGTAGTGAGCATGGTGGCCCATGCCTGTAATCCCACCACTCTGGTAAACTGAGGTGGAAAGACCACAAATTCCAATCTGAGCAAACTGACAAGACCCTGTGTCAGAATTTTTAAAAGGGGTGAGTATGTAGCTCAGTGTGAAAGTCTTGGGTTCAATCCCCAACACCAGAAAAAAAAGATAGGAGGAGTGGGAGAGAAGAAAGGAACAGAAAGGAAAGGAAAAAGAAAAAGCAGGCAAGCAAGCAGGTGAGAGTTACTGGACATCAGGGTAATGTGCCATTATGACAATGAAACCATGGACGGAGGAGGTAGGAGACAAATTTATTTAAAATAAATTTATTTTAATTTATTAATGTCAGTAGTTTTTAAAAACTGTTCCTGGCTTGGGATTTAGCTTAGTGGCATAAGTGCCTGCCTGGCAAATGTGAGGTTGAGTTCAATCCCCAGTACCAAAAAATTTTTTTAAAAAACTGTTCCTATGAAAAGGAACTTATTCTAAGAATAAGAAAAGAATAGAAAAGTCCTTGTTCTAAGAAATTTTTACTAAAACATAAAGTAATAAACCCAGCATGTTGGCACATGCTTGTAATCTCAACGCTCAGGGGGCTGAGGCAGGAGGATTATTGTGCGTTTGAGGCCAGCCTGAGCCACACTGTAGAAGACAACATGGGTGCCTCTCCTTGAATGTAGAACAATTGCTTCAGCATATGTTAAATTGAATCGTATTTCAATATAAGAATATGCACAGAGAGGATATTTCCTTCTATCCTCTTTTTTTTTTTTTTTTTTTTTTTTTGGTTGGGAGATCAAACTCAGAACCTTGCACTTGCCAGGCAGGCACTTGTGCCACTAAGCTAAATCCCCTGCCCATTTCCTTCTATCTTCAGTTGGCTCTAAGCAATGCAAATACCGATAGCTGAGGTACTGATATGTAATCCTTAAGACCAGCTGACAATGCCCTGTTTCCTTGCATCATGTTCCCTGTAAAAGGGTTGAACCCAGCAGGATGGCAGAGCCAGATAGCTCCAGGAATGTCAACTGAGTACAAGCCTCAAAATAAGAGGCTATGTCTTCCCCAGTTTCAAAAATTTATATATCAGAAACTGAAGCAACAGTTCATGAGTGCTAAATTCATTCATATGCTATCCCAATAGAGTTATGCAGACTGGTCTTTGCTGATCTCTCGCCTTGCATATTGCACAAGGGCTTACTCTCCGCTCATGAGCAACTCACCTTGCTCATGTAATTCCCACCATCCTCACTTTCATTCATACTTGAACCACTCCCTTCTTCGCAAGGTCATAAATTCTGGGAGAGACTTTGAATCAGAGCCTTTGTCCATATATCCTCACTTGGATCAGACTTGGAACCTCTTGGCTGCCCATAAGTTTGCATACGTTTTAGTGTCTTTACTCTGACTGTGAGTTGCCTTGGAAGTGGTAGATAGGAATTAACTTTCTGGGATTCCAATAATATTTCTATAGGATTACAAATATAACTTTCTGGATTGTGAGGTGGACCAGAAAAGGAATTACAATATTTGAATTACAAAATACAATACTTGAAATATGATTACAATATTTGGATTATAATACTACATTGTGAGTTGAAGGCTAGACCAAAATACATAGTGAGACCCTGTCTCAAAAAAAATTATACAAATGTTATACTCCCCCAAAAAGGCCCCCAAGATGAAAAATGGGGCAAGACGATGTCATTTTAAAAAGAAGCGCTTTTATTTTAGCTGGCCCAGTGACACAGTGCAGATGAAATTTGGAAAGCTGTGCGACTGAGTTAGAATTTTGACTGATTTTTATAGTTCATTTACGATTAGCTCATTGATCATTAAGTACATAGTGATGAGAAACGGAAACAAGGTGGGCCTTTGTTCCCCCTTGCTTGAGGTCAGAAGCATTTCACAGTGGGTGGTTAGCCAATTCATAGCCCTTGGTCTGCCAATTCCAGGAACATTTGTCTCTCATAAAGGGAACAATGGTTGACACAGCATCATTTGTCTCTTACAAAGGGAACAAAGGTTGACACAGCAAACAGGTTACTGGGGTGGAGTGGGGGAGGATGCATACCCAACAGCATGACTACGTGGTCAGTTAATCTGTAACTGTGTGGTTGGTGCTTGGTTACTCAGGTAATGAGCTCAGCACAGAATGACAATACTGCTAATAACTATCCTTTTAACTATTTTTGCTAATAACTATCTCTTAATTAACTATTTTAAGTTTTCAGTATTTTAGTACAACACAAAACTTAAAATTTTATTGATGTTACTATGATTTTATAACATGAATAAAAATGTCAGGATAATTAAGAAGGGACAAAACATGGAATTAAATTTTAGTTGTGCCCACTCCTGTTGACCCACTGCTTGCAAGAGCTTTTACATATAACTATGTTAATAGTATACATAGTCTACATAAGCCAATTTCTATGTAGCCAATTTCTATGAGATAGTTTTGTTTTTTGTTTTGTTTTGTCTTTTGGTGGTGCTGAGGATTGAACCCAAGGACCTTTCCACATGTTAGGCAAGTGCTCCCCCACTGTGCTACCCTCCTAGCTCTATGTAACACCATTTTGGGAAGCTAAAACGTTTTCAACTTTAGTTGCTGAAATTCTGTGAGGTATCTCTTCATCAGAAATACCTAAAGCATCTTCTGACTTCCTTTGCTCCTGATGGACCTTTAGGTTACAAGAATAAATAATTAACAAAGGTTTTGTAAAATGTACTCCGCAAGCCTAAGTAGTTCATGTACATACCCACACACTTTGACCTGCACCATCAGCAGGTAGGGAGAGAATTTATTTACTTTCCTTTCTATCCAGTGTCTAGATGGTACTAAAAAAAATTACTTCCTAACTGATATCATATAATTCAACATGACTGAAATAATAAACATTGGCTTGTTTTCTCAGGCTTTCTTACCTGGGGAACAGCAAGCTCATCTTCCATATTTTTAACATCACTGGTTCTACCCATCAAATAGAATGTTTGTTGCAAATGAGATTGGCCAAGTGAATGAGGTACTTGGCCGTGGCATAAAAAACTGAAAGAGCAACTATATCCCAGAAATTTCAATTAAAGCCATGTACTCAAGCTTTTTGAAATGGTTATCTGTAATGTCATAAGATCTGGAAACATCTTATTTAAACCAATGTATCTTTGGCTCTGGGTAATATCAGCCTTACCTGAACCCTAAGAAATAAAATCCAGGATTGCCAAATTCATGACTTTATTTGGGATCCAAGGGAATCGTGAAAGCTTTTAAGCCTAAAGTAAGAAAGATAAATCAGTCATTAGCTAACTTATTTCAGTCATCTACCTATAAAGTTGCATTCAGATTTCAGACGCAGAATCTAGAGATGTCACAGAAGCTAAGCATCTCCCTAAACCTATTGATCTGGGACATGTGGAAAGAAATGCTAGCAAGCAGCCACCGGGATTACATCCAACGATGATTTTGCTTTGTTTTTCCATTTGCTGTTTCATTATTTGCAGACGACATGATACTCCACATAGGAGAGCCCCAAAACTCCATTGAAAGACTCCTAGATATAATAAATTCAGCAATGTAACTGAATTATATCAGCAATGGATACAGAGTCAATACTCAAAAATCAATAGCAGTCCTATACACTAACAACAAAATCACTGAGAGAGAAATAAGAGAAGCCACACTCTTCACACTAGCATCCAAATAAATGAAATACTTAGGAATTAATCTCATGAAAGAAGTAAAAGATCTATACAGGGAAAATTATAATACCCTGAAAAAAAATTAAAGATGATCTCAGAAAATGGAAAGACATCTCATGTTTATGGATAGGTAGAATAAATATTGTGAAAATGGCTATTCTCCCAAAACTGTTATATAGATTCAATGCAATCCCAATGAAAATACCATTAACATACCTCATAGATCTAGAGAAATCACCTCTAAAATTGAACTGGAACCAGAAGAGATCTAGAATAGCAAAGGCAATTCTAAGCAGCAAAAGCAAGGCAGGAGGCATCACAATCCCTGACTTGAAGTTATACTACAAAGCTACTGTAATAAAATCAATGTGGTACTGGAATAAAAACAGATATGAAGATCAATGGAATAGATTAGAAGATACAACCATAACTACAAACACACTCAACCACCTTATCTTTGATAAAGGAGCCAAATATGTTCACTGGAAGAACGATAGTCTCTTTAATAAATGGTGCTGGAAAAACTGGCTCTCCATATGCCAAAAACTAAAACTAGACCCATGCCTATCTCCATGTAATAAACTAAAATCTAAATGGATCAAAGATCTAAATATTAAAACAGAAACACTAAATCTGTTGGAAGACAAATTAGGTAAAAATCTTGAAGACATAGGGGTAGGTAGAGAATGCATGAACAGGAATCAAACCATGCGAGAAATA